ATAAATAAAACTTTAAAACATTTATTTATTTTTATTGCAAAGCCAGATAAACAGAGAGGAGGAGAGACAGAGAGGAAGGTCTTCTGTCTGATGATTCACTCCCCAAGTGAGCGCAACGGGCCGATACTATGCCGATCCACAGCCAGGAGCCTCCTCCAGGTCCCCCACGTGGGTGCAGGGTCCCAAGGTTTTGGGCTGTCCTCCACTGCTTTCCCAGACCACAAGCAGGGAGCTGGATGGGAAGTGGAGCTGCCGGGATTAGAACCGGCACCCATATGGGATCCCATCGTGTTCAAGGAGAGGACTTTAACTACTAGGCTACTGTGCCAGGTCCAAATACATAAAACTTCTAAAAAATATATTAAATGATGTGTCCCCGGATGGGACATGAGATACCCTCTGGCATTTCTAAGATGGTTTTATCAACCTAGAGAGTGTAACACAGTGAGCTTCGGAGTGGGCTAGGACTACATCTCTCTTATGAATGCTGGCAGTTTAATTTGGAAAAAAAAAAACAAGCCAGAATGGTCCCTTCACCCCAGAGATATCTTCAGGATTTAGAAAATAATTCCCCTAAGAGTATCAGCACATGTGAACCCTTCAGAGCAAGCCACCATGGCATTCAGGAATGTCATGCCCCATGCAGAAGCCAGGGCTGCCACACACTTAGGGCCATCAGAAACTGCAGCCCAGTCCTGGAGCCCACCATGGGCAGATGGGGCCCCCTGGCCTAATGGAAGCAGACCCCCCCCCCATTTTAAAGGCTTGGAAGGTGTCAGGAGATTCAGAAATAGACCTGGAAGTCCTGGGGCACCCTCCAAGGGTTTTTAGATCCAGGGTTTCCTACAACCACTTCTAGGGACCTCAGTTACAGCTTATAGCGTAGGTTCTAGAATCAAGAGCCAGCCCCCAGGAGTCTGCTGGCCTTCATGACAGTAGAGTCCCATCTGATTTAGTATCTTGAAAGTGAAGTATGATGGAGTATTGAGCACACGTACTCTGAGTTACCCATGCCAACTCATTCTTTCCACTTCAACACGTATCTCTGCTGGACAATGTATGAGGTGCTGGAGTTACCCCAAACTAGAAAAACCATAGGCCAAGTTCTGGAGGAGCTCTGAAAGAGAGATCTGGAAATAAATAAATATAATACACAAGCTAAAGTATAAGATCCATGTGCAAGAGGTGGAACAAAAAGTAACTTAAATGACAAATTCAAGTAAAACTCCCCAAAGCAGGCCTGGTGTGGTAGCCTAGTGGGTAAAGTCCTTGCCTTCCAAGTGCCGGGAGCCCATATGGGTGCCAGTTTCTATCCCAGTTGGTCTATTTCCCTTCAGCTCCCTGCTTGTGGCCTGGGAAAGCAGCCAAGGACAGCCCAAACCTGTGGGACTCTGCACCCTTGTGAGAGACCTGGAGGAGGCTCCTGGCTCCTGAGCAGCTCAGCTCTGGTTGCTGTTGCCATTTTGGGAGTGAGCCAGTGGGTGGAAAATCTTCCTCTCTGTCTCTCCTTCTCTCTGTAAATCTTTTATTATTATTTTTTTTTAAAGAGAGACAGATGGGCTTGGCGTGACAGCATACTCACTAAATGTGCCAGGATCCCATGGGCGCTGGTTCTAATCCTGAAGGCTCTGCTTCCCATCCAGCTCCCTGCTTGTGGCCGGAGAAAGCAGTTGAGAACTGCCCAAAGCCTTGAGACCCTGCACCCGTATGGGAGACTCGGAAGAGCTCCTGGCTCCTGGCTTTGGATTGGCTCAGCTCCAGCCACTGTGTTCACTTAGAGAGTGAACCATCTTCCTCTCTGTCTCTTCTCCTCTCTGTATATCTGCCTTTCCAATAAAAATGAATAAATCTATAAAAAAACAAAAGAAACTCAGAAAGATGGACAGATAGAGACCTATATCACCCATTTCCCCACTCCGAGACGGAGTTCCGGGCTGCTGGCTTTCTCCTGGATTAGCCTTGGTTGTGAGAGGCATTTGGGGAGTGAATCAGTGGATGGAAAAAATCTCTTTCTCTTTTTTCTCTTTGCCTTCCAAACACATTAAAAAATAATTAAATCTTTTTTAAAAAGAGAGAAAAAATAAAATAGCTTAGTTATGATGAAAATGGTGTAGGCATTCATATCTCTCTCTGCCTTTGTGCACACGGTACTCGGCAAATTCCTGCTGATCACTCAAGGCCTATCACACCTCAGGTCATCTCTGGACATCTGCTTGTGCATGTCTCTCTGCTCCCGTAACACTGCTCGGTTCTCTCTCACAGCACGTATTATGCTCTCCTCTTGTTAACCATATTAAGCTTGTATCTTCCCAGCAGACCGCCTTCCTTACAGCAGCAACTATCACCCAATCTGTTCCTATCTCTAGCCCCTCTCAGTTTCTGTACACATGTGAGAAACCTTGGTTGAATGGAAACCAAGAGAGGAGGTGACCAGAAGAGCAGGGGCTCCGGGTTCCCCACACTGAGCTCTGGGACTCCAGTGACACTTTTTTGATAAGGTGTTCCATAATAAAACTCTTCCGGACATCAGCTTAATTCATCACATAGTTTACACACTGAATCCGACCTTTTCCAGGGCAACGGTAGTGGCCACTTGTTTCATTTTACAAATAAGGAAGCCCAGGCTCAAGGAGCTGAAGTAACTTGTTCCAAACACACAAATGCATTCCAACTGGGGTCACTAGTCTCTGAGTCACAGGGTTCATCATCTTTTTCCTTAAGATTTATATATTTCTGGGCCCAGCGTGGTAGCCTAATGGCTAAATGCTTCACCATGAACGCCAGGATCCCATATGGGTACCGGTTCTAATTCCAGCACCCCCGCTTCCCATCCAGCTCCCGGCTTGTGGCCTGAGAAAACAGTCAAAGATGGCCCAAAGACGGGTCTCTGCACCCATGTGGGAGACCTGAAAGAGACTCCTGGCTCCTGGCTTTGGATTGGCTCAGTTCCAGCCACTGCGGCCACTTGGGGAGTGAATCAATGGACAGAAGTTCTTCCTTTCTGTCTCTCCTCCTCTCTATATCTGACTTTGCAATAAAAATAAATAAATCTTTAAACAATTTATGCGTTTTTATCTTTAAAAAGATTTATTTATTTTTATTGCAAAGTCAGATATACAGAGAGGAGGAGAGACAGAGAGAAATATCTTCTGTCTGATGATTCTCTTCCCCAGTGACCACAATGGCCAGTGCTGCACCAATCCAAAGCCAGGAGCCAGGAGCGCTTCTGGGTCTCCCACACGGGTGCAGGGTCCCAAGGCCCTGGGCCATCCTCGACTGCTTTCCCAGACCACAAGCAGGGAGCTGGATGGGAAGCAGGGCTGCTGGGATTAGAACTGGCATCCATATGGGATCCTGGCACGTTCAAGGTGAGGACTTTAGCTGCTAGGCCACGATGTTTGGCCTAAATACATAAAGATTTATGCATTTTTATTGAAAAGGCAGAGAAGATTTATGGAGAGAAAAGACAGAGAGGAAGATCTTCTGTCTGCTGTTTCACTCCCCAAATGGCAGCACTGGCTGGAGCTGAGCTGCTTGGAAGCCAGGAGTCAGGAGCTTCCACTAGGTCTCCCAAATGGGTGTAGGGTCCCAAGGCTTTGGGCCATACTCTACTGCTTTCCCAGGTCACAAGCAGAGAGCTGGATGGGAGTGGAGCCAAGACATGGGATCCTAGTGCTTGCAACGTGAATATTTTAGCCACTGAGCCATTGTACCAGGCCCCCACAGGGTTTATCTATGAGAATTAAATGAGACATGGTACAGTACAATCCTTAGTCTGGAATCCAGCATGCAGTAGGCATTCAACAAATACTAACTCTCATTGATACTATCATTCCTTCATATTAGACCTTTGCAGTTGCCTCCCGATCTCTCTGCGCCCCTGGGTGGGGCTGGGTGGGGAGGACACAGTTTCTACTGTAAGGGGACTAACATGGGACGTCTGTCAAGTGTTCAGATTTGAACCTAGGCCTGACTCTCACACCTCCCAATGACCAGGTAACTCTAAGGCAGTGTCCCCAAGTTGTCTGGCTCGAGTGATTGCATATACACCCCCTGCTTCCAGTTTCCTTGAGAATACAGCCCAAGTTCATTACCCCAGCACTGGCCCCCAGGGTGCTAGCGGCTAGAGTCTTCCTTTTCCTCCCTTGCAGGAGACCTTGCTATCCTACCCCTTAGCCTCTGCCCCAGCCCCTCCACACTTTAGGGAATCACTCTTCTCTTTCGGTTTGTGTTGTCAGCATCGGCTGTAGCCAAGAACCCGAAATACAAAAAGTGCTTAATAAACACGGCCTGTTTTGCAGGAACCAGAGATGATCGTCCCAGTGGTGGGAGGGAGCATCTGTCTTCCTCATGAGGGGACGAGGCAGTGAACTTAACCTTAAGTCACTTCAATGTCTCTCAGGCTGTCCTGTCATCTATTCCCCGGCCCTCACCCTGCCCAGCGCAGCCCCCTGGGATCAGGACTATCCCGCCCTTACCCAGACCCCTCCCCCAGGTTCCCCGAGACCCCTGTCTTTCTTTCCCAGGGCTATTCCTGCGGCTTCCGACCCCCAGAGTTCGACTCGCTCGCAAGATCATTCCTGGAACCTCTTGGCCCTCCCTCAGGGCTGCCCCTACGTCCTCTCCTGCAGTCCCACCCGGCTGGACCCTGCGCCCTGTCGCCTTCCTTTTCAGCCTCCTCAGTCCTGTCGGCAGCGCCACGCTCGGGCGCCGGCCTCCGCGCCCCGCCCCGAAGCTCGTGCCCCTGCAGGTCGGGCCCCGGGTGCTGCCCCCCACGCCCCGGCCGCCCCCGGCCGCCCCCTCGCCGGGGCGGGGCGCGCGGAGGCGGGGGCGCGCTGGCGGCCGAGGCGGCGGCGGCGGAGGCAGGCGGGCCGGGCGCGTGTCCGCGGCGCCGTGACTCGGCGGCTCCGCAGCGGCTGCAGCGGGAAGACCCGGCCGTAGCCGCTGCCGCCGCCGCCGCCTCGGCCGCCATCGCAGCCGGGCGGCCGGGCCCCGCCGCGGGGATGCCGAGGAGCCTGGGCGGCCTCGCCGCGCGGGGCCCGCGGCCACGGTCGCCGGGCCGGGCCCGGTGCTGGAGCTGCTGGCGGGCCCCGGGGCGGCTACTGCTGCTGCTGTCGCTGCTGCCCGCGCTCTGCTGCCTCCTGGGCGCCGCGCGGGCGGAGGCGTCGGCGGCGGGGGCCGGGGACCGGACGGCGGCGGTGGCGGCTGCGGCGGCGGCGGCAGCGGCAGCGCAGGCGACCGAAGCAGAGGCGCCCTTCGCTGGGCAGGTGAGACTGGTGCGCCGGGAGCTGGATCGCGCGGGCTCGAGGGCCTCCGGGGAGAGTGGGTGGGAATATGGGGGTGACACCGGGGCTGGGCCGCGGCTGCTGCTAGGGCGGCCGAGGCAGTGCACCGGGGCCGGGGGGAGGTCAGTGCTTGGGGTCGGGGCCCGCGCGGCCCCGGGCCGGGACTGGAGAGGGCCGCGCCGAGACCGCCCGGGAAGGGGAGCTGCTTCAGCACCGTGGACAGGGGCAGCGGGCAGAGGAGGAACGGGAGGGTCCCAACCATGGTGGCAGCGCCGGTGGGGTGTGTGTGTGTATGTGTGTGTGTGTGTGTGGCCTGCATGTTGGTGTGTGCGAGAGAGACCGTACAACGCCTCGGAGTAAATAGTAAAGCGCCGCCAGTCTGTTGTAGGAGAAGAACCTCAGGATGTTCGGACTGGGGGCGAGGGAGGGAGAGGGCGCCGCCGGAAGGACTCTGTCAGTGTCTTCGCGTCTGAAGAGGGTGGTCAGGTGCAAGGTGGCCCCTTGGGGACCCTAACCGGGGCTACTGGAGATGGGGGCGGGGATGCCCGAAGACAACATTTCTGCTCCGTATAGGAAGAAGTTTGTAACAATTGGAGCTGCTCTGCCAGCTGGGGAGGCTGCAAGCTCTGCTCCTCGCGGGCATGTGCAACCGAGAGCTCCGAGAGGGGATTGGTTGGCTGCGCCCATAATAACCTGCAGGGCTGCATGCATGGTAACAGTAAAGGGCGGCCAGGTTTGGCTGGGCTCATGGATTTGTCCAGCACCCAGGGTGTGTGCCAGGCCTGGGGTTGTGCCGTGTAGGAATTCATCCATCTAATCCCCACAGCTTCTATAGCGAGTACTTGTATTTATTACCTCCATTTTTACAGGGTGAGGATACAGGCCTAGGGACTTTAAGTACCTTGCCCAGGTTCTGGCACCTTGTGAGTGATGGATTCAGGATTATAACCCCGGGCTGGCTGGCTCTCCTAGGCATTTAACCATGACGTCTGAGTCACAGGGTAGTTGGGGATAGGTGATTGCTCTGGGTTCTCCCAGCCTCGAGGTCTGCTGTTCTGACGTGCCAAGTGGGACACATGAGTGTTTTAGCTGGGGAAAAATCACAGTGACCGAGTGTGTTTGCCCAAACAAGCAGCAGCTAACTGCGCCTGGGAATGGGGGGCTCGTGAGTTCCAGGCAAAATGTCCTAGGAGAGGGTCCCTGGATTTTATTCAGACTCGATTAAGGCAGTGAGTGTATAGCTGATAGATGTCCTCCCAGGATCTCAAAGTTGCTGACTTTTGGTGAAAACCTGTCCTAATCTGTTTACATTTTCAGCTTTATAACATGTTGAAGTAATGCCTTTTGTGAATGTATATCCTAGAAAAAATAGGCTTAAAAAAAAAAAAAGATTTCATGAGGATTAAGGGTGAGGTGAAAAGACCTGGCTTGGAATTTAGGAGGTCTGGACCCTAGTTCAACCTTGACCACGCTCCCGCCGAGTTGTGTCTGTGACCTTGAGCAGTGTCTGTGCCCTCTCTAGACTTGAAGTGCACTAGGCTTCAGGTCAGATAGGGTCAGATGCTCCCAACCCTGAAGCCTTTTTGCTACTGTGCCATGTCAAGCATTAAGAGCAGGCTGCTCCCTTGAATCTGTCAGGATTTGAAAAGAAGGTTCTGTTGACTCCATCCATATCTGTATTAACTCTATGGGTTTTGATTATTCTGCCTCTCAGCTTTTTTTTTTTTTTCCAAACTTAAGTGTCCCTTAGCACAGCTACTCTGGGTCACTTTAATGGCCCCTTTCTGGATATTTTGGGATCCTTATTTTCAATTTCCCACCTTGTCAGCAGGTGGGAGACCCAACAGCTTTGGGGGCCGTCCTGCTGCTTCTGTCCATCCCTCTGTCAGCTGGCCCCACCTCAAGACTCTTGTGTACTGCCTTTAGGAAACAAGCCAGGGTAGCTCCCTGATTCCTGCTCTGGGGCAAAATCGATTGACTGGAACACAACACCCTCCCTGTGGGTTATGGGCATCGGAGTGCATCACCTTCTTTCTCTACCTTCCTCCAGGTGTCTCCTTCCTCCCTCCCTCCTCCTTTCCACTTCCCTAGCTAAAAGGGCTTCATATGATCTGCAGTCCTGAAATTTTCACTTTGCTCTACTTCTTCTGTGTCACTGGTAAAAAATTTACGTCTGACAGGTCCCAGCATGATCTCTTGCCCTCCCCCCCACCCCCCGCACTCAGTCTTCTTCCATTCAGAGATGAGACCATTTATTTCCTATCCGCAAGTGAGTCTCAGGGCCTGATGGAAGCAAAACTCAGCACCCTTAATTCCACAGTGACTTTTTAAAACATCTTACTATGTTGTCCAAAAATTTCTGAAAAACAGACCAACAAGCTAGATTGCTTTTCTCAACTATGTGAACACTAATGGATCACACGACTGAAGCCTTCGTGAAATCTTGCTGTTGCCTTTTGGCAGGCAGATAATATTGCTTACGCCCTGTTCTGTCTTTCAAAGCCTCTGGGAGCCTGGTTCCACCTACTCCCCCATTAGCAGCGGTCTTCCCTACTGTGCATCGATAATGCATCCTTCCTTCCAGAACAGTCTCCATCATCCCAGGATGGGCTGCTTATAGTGCGCCCATTCACCTGACACACCGTTCCTGAAAGTTTAGGCTCATGCTCTGCTTCTCCAAGAAATGATGCCTGGCCTCTCTAGTCACCACTGATGTCTGTCTTCCCAGGGGACATGGTAAGACAACCCCACCCAGTTTGTTATTTTATATTCTTGAGTACTCCCTGTGGGAAAGGAGGGAGGTGGACTGTGGTTGGTAGGCAGGGCTTTCCCCAACCAAAACACTGTTTTCAGATTGAACACAGTCTTCAGACTCTCATTGCTCACAATTCAGTGAGCATTCAATCAGTTAACTCTTCACCCTAAAGGCCAAAAATGACATGAATCTGAAACAGGCATTCATGGGTGTGTGGATCTCAAGAACCTTGTTAGGGATAGGGTTCACTGCCCACCAGTCTTTCCTTTAGTAGAAATCAAGGCCATTCCTTCTGGTGGTAGTTACAAATTTCACCCTTGAGATTTCAACATAACTCGGGCTTGATGGTGACATATAGCACACAGGATTTGAGAGGGACCAAGACCTTCAGATAACCAGCAAGTACTCAGTAGTATGTAATTCATATCTTCTCAATGACCCAAGGCATAAGGTTTGATAGTAAGTGAGTTAGAACTAGACTGTTTTTCCTGGGTCTCCTAAATCCTTACTTTTTATAATTATTTTTTACTTCTTTATTGGACGGGCTTATTTGGGATCTTGTATCCTCCCTAGTCAGACTGAAGACAGGAGCCTGGAACTGTATCTGGGGCTCCCATGTGGGTGGCAGGTGCCTACAAACTTGAGCCATTACCTGCACCTCCCAGCATGCACATTAGCAGGAGGCTGGCATTGGAAGCAGAGCCAGGACTTGGATCCAGGCACTCTAATATGGAGTGCAAGCCACCTTCAGTGGTGACTTAACTTCTGCACCAAAAAGCCAGCTCCTCCCAGTGTCTTATGTTGTGCTTTTTTCATTGTCTCTGGATTCTGATTTTACATCTCTGATCTTCCATTATAAAAAGAAAGAAAGGAAGAAAGAAAATGCTACGAAAAAAAGATTAAAGAAAACAACAAAAAAAACTTCCATCTGTTTTCCCTTTTGCTTTCTTAGTTCTTACACAAGTGAGAGGAGGACCCCACTGAGTCTCTAATTGGCTTTCTACTATTGGCTTATTTAAAGCATCCTTTTCTTTCTTATTAGCTGGTTTGAATGCATCAAATTCAAATCATGTTTTGGCCTTCTATCTTCCAACTGGACTCTGAGGAAGGCTGGAACATACAGCAGGAGCTAAACCATTCAGTCCAGGCCCCAGGAGTCACACACTGGCCTGGGGTCTAATGGCGTCCTGCCCTGGAGACTGGTTTTGAGTGATCTACTCTGGGGGGCAGATGGAGAATATTCTTAGGTTTTCTTTTTTTTTTTTTTTAAGATGTATTTTATTTTTATTGGAAAGTCATATATACAGAGAGGATAGACAGAGGAAGTTCTGTCTGATGATTCACTTCCCAAGTGGCCATAATGACCAGAGCTGAGCATAGCCAGGAACCAGGAGCCAGGAGCCTCTTCTGGGTCTCACATGCGGGTGCAGGGTCCCAAAGTTTTGGGATGTCCTCAATTGCTTTCCCAGGCCACAAGCAGGGAACTGGATAGGAAGCGGGGCTGCTGGGACATGAACCAGCATCCATATGGGATCCTGGCACATGCAAGGCAAGGACTTTAACACTAGGTTACATGCTGGCCCGATTCTTAGGTTTTCAACCTTCCGTCACAGCGCTTAGAGCCCCAAGTGAGTCTGGGGTAGAGATCTGTGAGGAAGTCCTGAACTATTCTACAGCCCCCCAAAAATTATTTCAATGTGATCATAGCCTTCCTTCTTGTCCTTTTACATGAGCTGAATCTTGCTTGCTTCATTCTTAAAAATTCATTTTCTCTTATTAATACTGTGGATTTTCTAGTAAGGGAATAGCCTGTTCTGCCCATAAGGTGCCTTGTACTGCCCTGATGCTTGTATTCATGTGGCCCCCTTGGATCCTGGCAGCAGGGCCCAGGGGGTGGTTAGGGAAGACCATGTCCTCATTTTCACAGCTGAGTAAACAGAGACTCCCAGAGGTGATGGGACTGAGCCTGAGCCGCCATCTTGTCCGGGAACCCACATGCACAGAAGCCCATTTCCTGCCATTTCCTGTCCTTCCACTCAGTGATGTCCCCGACCCCCGCCAGTTCTGGATTCTCGTACTAGCCTATTAGCCCACCTTTCCCATGTCCAAGTATGCCCCACCACAGTCCTCAGAAGAGACAGTTTTAAAACTAACAAAAGTCAATTATAGTGGTATCAAAATAGTGGAATCTTAAGAAATTACAGTGTGGTATGGCTACAGTTTGTTC